CCCTAAATAATAGGTTAAACATAGGGAAACAGTCTTTAAAACTTTTCAATAACGAATGAGATCCTATAGATAAATTATTCGCATTCATTAAAACTATTCAGAGAGATTATAGAATTTTTTTCCTATCAAAAGGGTTCAACAATTAATTTCGGCAAGGGCGCTAAACTTTACAATTTCAGGGGGCTCAACTAAAAAAAATTTTATGCCCCCCATGCCTTCCAATTTGCGGACCTTCGGCCCGCTTTTGCTAGGCCTTCGGCCGGGTTTTATATTAATATATTATACTTTTATAAAATTTGTTAGCAATTATTCTGAATTTCATATTTTGTCATTTATTATATTATGCATACAAAATAAACTGGCATATAAATAACTAAAACAATATATGACATTTCTAAAAATTGAGCACATTGCTCGAGTCTGTAGAAAAGAAATAGTGAAATTTATTATTAATAAAACAAACGAATATAATCCAAAATTTTAGGTGGATGTCAAAATAAACAACAGCGATATAAGAATGGAATTAGATGCTGGAGTCAGTATAATTAACGAAATAGATTGGGAAAATAAACTTAATCATCTTGAATTAACAAATTGCATGCTAAAACTTAAAAGTTATACAGAAACCAATATACCACTATTAGGTCAAACTGTAGTATAAGTACAATATAAAGGGCGAACATTAGAACTACCTCTCATAATTACAAAAGGATATAACAAAAATCGAATTGGAAGAAATTGGATATTTAAATTTCCCAAAATGACTGAATTACCTGAAAGGATGATACAAATAATTAATATTAATATACAAATCAATTATTTACCTAAGAATTAGGCTGCTTGAAAGATTATAAGGCACAAATATATATGAAAAACGAGAAACCAATTTTCTGTAAATCACGTCCCGTACCATACGCATTAAAAGATAAAGTTGAAGAAGATTTAGATAGATTGCAAAAAATAGGAGTACTAGGGAAAATTAATCATTCACTTTAATCATCACCCATAGTAACTGTTCAAAAGAAAGATAACACACTAAGAATTTGCGGGGATTTTAAAAGAACTAAATCAAAATATTAATATTGATTCATATCCAATACCAAGAATCCAAGATTTATTAGCCAATTTGGGAAAAGGAGAGGAATTTTCAATATTGGATCTCTTAGATGCCTATTTTTAAATTAAAGTGGAGGAAGAGTCTCAAAAATATCTTGTAATCAATACGCATAGAGGATTATTTAAATATACAAGGCTACCTTTTAGTATATCGTTTCTCCAGCAATATTTAAACGAGCCATCGAGAATTTATTAAAAGGTTTTGAAGGAGTAGCTTGTTATTTAGATGATATTATAATAACCGGGAAAAATAAAGAGAAACAAGAAACAAATTTAAAAAAGGTACTAAAATGTCTAGATAAAAATGGAATCAAGCTAAAAATAAAAAAATGTAAATTTTTCAAAATGTCGAATACTTAGGACACAATATTTCAAAAAACGGAATTACAGCTACCGAAAAAAATACTGATGCATCAGAACCAACAAATTTGAAACAATTATAGTCATTTCTAGGGTATGCAACATACTATACAAAATTTATTTCAAATTTTGCAGCCAAAGCCAAACCATTATACAAATTATTAGAAAAAGCAGTTGTTTGGAAATGGCCTAATGAATGCAAAATGCGTATAAATAAGCAAGAAATAAGTAGTACTCCAATATTACAACATTATAATTCAAAATTATCCATTATATTAGCAACAGATGCATCATCTATCGGAATTGGGGCAGTAATATCACATATAGAAGGGGGTAAGGAAAGACCAATTGCATTCGCCTCAAGAACACTAAATGCAACTGAAAAAAATTATAGCCAGATTGAAAGAGAAGCACTTGCCATCATATTCGGGGTTACAAAATTAAAAGAATTTATATATGGGAAAAAATTCACATTACAAACAGATCACAAGCCATTAATGGTTTTATTTCATACAATAAACTGCCCGAATACAAAGGTGGGCTTTATTATTAGCCGGTTATCAATATGAGATAGAAGTTAAAAGTAGTAGACAAATAGCAAATGCTGACATGCTATCTAGATTAACCTTAAAGGGAACTTCAATATCAAAAGAAGTGCTAGATCAAATTCAGGTGGGAGAAACACCTTTAAATGCAAGCGAAATTGAAAGAGAAACTATGCGTATTGATATACTTTCAAAAGTATACAGATATATAATAGATGGATGGCCAATAAACTCTGGTGCCTGAAAGGAGTATAGCCAAAGGAGATAGGAAATTACAACTGAGAGAGGTTGTTTATTGGAGAACGAAAATGATAATACCACAACAATACCGAAACAACTTAATGGACATGATACATCAAGGACATATCGGAATGGTAAAAATAAAGATGAGAGCACGAAAATACGCGTGGTGGCCTAATATAAACCAAGATATAGAAACCTGGGTCGAAAAATGTAGAGAATGCCAGGAACAACATGATATGCCTCAAAAGACAGCAATTCAAAATTGGCTAAAACCACCAAAAGCATGTCACCGAGTACATATTGATTATGCTGGACCATTTCAAAATCATAGATGCTAGCAGTCGCTGGCCAGAAATAGTTCCCATGACTAGCTCTACAACCGAAAGCACGATAAAAATATTAAAAAATATTTTTGCAAGATTCGGATTTCCCAAAATAATCGTTTCTGATAACGGACCCCAATTCAGCAGCAAAGATTTCAATGATTTTTGTGAAAAAAACAGAATTCAATTAGTGAACGGAAGTCCTTACCATCCTCAGACAAACGGCATGGCCGAACGTTTAGTTAGAACTTTTAAACAGAGTAGAATAAAAGAAACCAGAGGGATTTAGAAACCAGCCAAGCTATTTTTCTTTACAATTACAGAAATACACCAGGAACAGAAACTGAACAAAGTCCCGCTGAAATTAAAATTTAAACTAGAGGACTGTTAGATCAAATTTTCTAACGGTGAAACAAAAAGGAAAAGTTTGAATACCACAATCAAAAATTTCAGATAAATGAAAAAGTTTGGTGGTGCCTTTACAATAATTAGGAAAAAAAATGGGAAGAAGCCATTATTAAAGACATACTCGGATCACAACGTTATGAAATAAGTATAGTGGGTAATACGATTATGCGTCATACGGTCCAATTAAGGAAACGACGAAAATGTATTAATTGAAGAATACGAGTTAGAAGAGAGTACTGAAGTAGAAGAGAAAACCGAAAAGATAGTAAACATAGAGATAGTAAACAAAGAGGATGTAAAAAATAACGATGATATGAATTTAAAGGAGAGGGAGGAAGAAACAAGTCAAGATCGATATCCCAAAAGGATACGATAGAAACCAGATCGACTGGGGATAAATGATGTGTATTAAATTGTTGTTTTTTTTTATTTTTGGTAAAATGATTATTTTTATCATTATTATATATTTTGTTATTAATTTGAATAATAAAAGATGGATTTTGATTTTACATTACAAAATAAAAGAATAAGAAAAATTCGTTTACTATAATAATACATTACAAGCTCGTCCTTCTCTCTCTTCACATTTCTTAAAATCATCTTACATCTATTTTAAAAAAGTGCTTGGAAGAATTACCAAATCAAATCAAATTTTCACATAGATAAATGTTACAAATTATATTTAAAAAAAATTATCAAACGTGAAGCCTATCAAAGACCTATAAATCATACAAGATTTTCTATTCCCAGGGAATATTTAAACAACAGAAATCATTCGCCAATCATATATACTATCGTTACAAAATTAAATCATATAGCCAGAAATCGTAGATACGATAAAAAAATTATTTTTAAAATAATGACATTATATCGGTTAATAAACCGAAAAGAACAAATGATATTAATAAAGATCGTAGAAGCATAAGGATAGATTGATTATTGAATCGCATTTTAAAATCCGATATAAATGACTCAGCCTAAGGCAGCAACTGATCTCTGTCTAGAACTGATTTATGAATTAATAATTAATTATGCATTTATTGAGGCAATGCCGATCTTGGAATTTTTTTGAAATTTTTTTTCCTATATTGCTCTATATTAAAACTATATTATTACATACGCATTAACTATTAATTCTTAATACTTCTAGAATTTGTTTGCCTACAAGCCTAAGGCGTTATATCATTTTTATTTGACTAATAACTCGTTTGCATTTTTGTGGTTAGAATTATTTATTGAAGAATTAATATAAATATGAAAAAGAATTAATATAAATATGACAATAAACATTAACACAAGATATTTAGAATTTATTTTTCGTTCTGGCATAATGCCAATTATGGTATATTTTTTCTAATTTTAACAAAAAAAAATTTCCCTATATATCAAACAGATTGCAATAAAAGTCACCTATCTAGCATTACTTAATGGTTAGGTATAAGTTTCAGAATTAATTTTTCCAAAAGCGTCATAGCTTTCAATTTATTTATAACTCGGTATATTTTTTATGCTGTTCGAAACTGATTAAGAAATTAGTATGTACTAGTCAAGCACAAATATTAGGACAAGCAAAACATAATTTTTTCTTCTTTTATATTTTCCATTCTTGCATTATGAAAATTTTGGAAATTTTTTTTTACTTCTAATAACTTTTCTTTTCTTTATACTTTCTGTTAAACGGATTAAAGTAATATACAATTACGACCATTTTTTCAATAAATGTTTTCAATCTCTTTTTACTTAAGGTTGGCCAAAATTTTATTGTTAATAATCTTCCACTTTATATTGGCTACTATATTGGTTAAAGCACTCATAGGAATAAAACAGATTTTAGAATTAGTGGTTCTAATTGTTTAACCAGCTTTGATGGAGATGTTATTTTAAAAGCATCATAAACACCAAGGGTCGAAAATACCTATTCAAAACTTTTCAGAGGAGTGCAATGGCCGAACGCCAGATATTTAATGATTGGGGGAAAAGTTCCTTACC